TTGTTGGTGTTTGTGTGTGTGTGTGTGTGTGTGTGTGTGTGTTTTGCTCCTCCAGGTTCCAGGTGGACTTCCAGGTGGGTTGCAGTGTCAGCCCCCGGGCAGACATCGGCCTGCACTTCAACCCCCGTTTCCGACCACGTCCTCACGTGATCTGCAACTCCCTGGTCCACGGCCACTGGATGGAAGAGACAAAACTCCCCCACTTGCCCCTGAAGAGAGGGGACCGCTTCGAGCTCCTCTTTCTCTTGGAAGAAGACCACGTGAAGGTCGGGAGGAAGGGAGAGGGCAGGGGCCGTCGGGGGGGGGAGGCGGAGGGAAGAGAGGGATGGCGGTGCCGCCCCAGGAGAAGGGGCCCCCGTTTCTGAGGCCAAGGGGGTGGCTCATTCCTTCAGCTGGGAGGCACCTGATGGGAACCTGGCAGCCATTTGTGGTACACCCCCCCCCCTGCGATGGATCATCAAAGAGGAAGGTGAGCAAAGGGACGCTTTGAGTTGCGTAAAACTGAAACATCCTTGGCTAATTTGGAAGTACAGAAGCCAAATTAGAAACGCTTTTCGTAATACAGACAAAATAACGGTCTGTCTCCCTGGTGTGGGGAAGATAGTGACCCTCCACGGGTTGATGAGGATGGATGATGGGAAACTTTAAAGGCCACCCACCCACCCACCTACCTGCAATGTGGTTCTTTAAGCGAGGAGTGGCCCCTGGCGTCCAACCGAAAGCAGACAAGGTCCGAAGGGAGGCAGGGGCTCTTATCCGCTCATTGGATCAAGGCCTGCCTTCTCTCAAGCGGTCACCTGAGGAGGAGGAGGAGGGAAGAGGGAGGAGGAAGGGCTACGCCGAAGGACCACGGCTGGAGCCTTTGCTGTGGCTCGGGCCACGGACGAGAGAGGGTCAGCCAGGGCCCCGTTCTTCACTCTCTCTCCTCAGGTGAGCGTGAATGGGAAGCATTACGCCCAGCACCCTTTCAAGGTCCCGCTGGCCCAGATGGACACCCTGGGAGTTTCCGGAGACATCTTTGTGAAAACGATCGCCTTCCTTCCCAACAGTGTACGTTACTGAGTTGTGGGACACGTGCACACCCACACCCGTGTTTGTGTTTCCCAGTCACCCAAGCAACCAGATGAAAGAGGCCGGGCTGGGAAAGGCAGGAAACGGACGTCATATCGGTCACCCTCTTGTCTGACTCAGAGGGTTTCTTGGTGGGGAGGGAGGGTAAGATCAGAAGCCTCCCCCCAAGCACAAGGAGAGTCTTGTGACTCCTTTCAGATTCATGGGAGGGGCGGAATGTCTTGTGGATGGTCCACCTCTTCAAGGGTGGAAAAGAGACCCGTTGAGACTCTTTCTTTTTTTAATCTTTGAATACTGAAACAGACCAATGGGGGTTTTCGTTCGCTGCCATGGGAAGGCGGGGGGGCGGGGGGGCGGCATGGAGCCCTGCCAGCTTTGCTTTCTCCAGGGCTCTGCAGCCGCCCTCAGCAGCTGCCTTCCCACCAGATCCAATTTCAGGGCATCGGCTGCTCCGCCTGGCAGCAAGTTGGCTGAGGCCAGGAGGGAGGGGCCTCTCCTCCCCAGGCTCCCTCTGGGGGGAGCGGTCTTGGCCCCCATGGGCCCTTCCTCATCCGTCAGCAATGCTGGGCACTTCGGACTCCAGTCCTCTGGGCGGCTTCCCTTCCATTACCACCACCCACCAAACCAGGCCCGCAGTTTTTAAAAAGGACACGGGGGAGTGGGGGGGATCCAGTCGTGCCAAGCCTTTGGGAGGGTTATCTGAACCGTGCAAGGGTCAAAGCGACTGAGGGCCAGGAGTCCTCCCTCCCCAGGGTTGCCTCATGGCGGTGAATTTCTGATTTGTGATTTCCCTCCTTCCCTCCTCGTGCAGCCGTTTGCTACCAGCCGGGCTGGAGATGCTGTTGCCAAGGTAAGCCTGGCCTTGGGGGCTGGCCGGCTGGCTAGCCATGGGGAGCTGTAACTCCTGGCTTGCCAGCCCGCTCCTTTCCCAGCGATAATTTAGATGCGTGTTTTAACAGCAGGCCCTCGCTTTAATTCCAACTGCTTTTTGATTTCCTTCCCCGCAGCCTCTGCTTCTGCGCAGTCCTGACCTGGTGAGTCTGAAGAGGCCGGGTTCTGCTCAACCTTCTCCTTCCCTGCCTTTGCGCGATTCCTTTGCTGCTCAGCCTGGTTTGCCCTTTCCTCCCCTTTCAGGAGGTGCCTCTGTCCCGCACACTTCCCGAGGGCTTCAGGCCAGGAGACAGCATGACCGTGCGAGGGTTGGTGTGTCCGGACCCCCAAGAGTAGGTTGGCAGCCCCCTCCCCCAATGCCACTCCACCGCCATCTCTGGCCTTGGCCAAAAGCACGAGCAGAAGGGGCTCGAGGGGTCCACGGAGAGCTTGAGCCTGTTTACTGGAAAGCAGTTTCCTCCTCAGTGGAGGCCGAGCACTCAGGAAGGGTGCATCGTTCGGGGGGGGGCGGGCAGCTGTGGACCTTTACAGTCCCTTCCAACTCACTCCCTGAGTCGTGCCCAGTGGGGCAACCAACCCAGAGGATTTGCCACCACAGAGCTGCAAGTGGGAGTGTGGGCGCTTTGGCCGAGCTTTGCCGGGCGGTAGAGCACTGTCTTAGCAGGGAGTGCAAGCAGGCAGGGGTGTCCATGAGTGTGCACGTGGGCAGACTATGCTGAAGGAGAACCCAGGCTCTTGCTTCCAAGGAAAACCTTTTGCTTTAGCCCCTATTTTTCATAGAAGCCCAGCCTGGGAATTCTCATTTGGCAGTAAAATTTATGAAAAGATAGGAACGTACCTGGCGTGAGCCTGAAATGTGCAGCAGGGGTTTCCTCGGGTGGGTCTGGATTTTGGTTCTCTTGTGGGTCTGCTCTGGCCCGTGAACTCGGGTTTCCTCCATGGACATTCTGGAAGGGAAGGAGAGAGGTGGTTGGCGTATGTTCTTTTTAGAAAATGTATTTCTACCGCCAGCTTTTTTGCAAGGGTCCACCAGTTCGTACCTTCCTATCCGTGGCGTCCCCCTACTAAGCATCTATGTCAGATCCTATACTTGACTCTGAGGCCAGGGAGGGAGCCTTTGCCCCGCACGCAGCTCCCTGCCCTTCTCAGCCATGGGGCAGCCATCCTAGAAGCTACTCTCAAGACTCTTCCTTTCAGCTACCAATAAACTTTGCATCAATTTCCCAGGCTCCAGATCAGCTTGAAAACGCTGGACCCTTCCTGCTCCCTCTGGTGCTTCCACGTTTCCTTCACGGACAGGAGAATATTATGGGGCTCAGACACAGAGGAAGGCCACAGTTCTGGGGCAGTGCTGGCCCCTTGCTTCCCCTTCCACCCCCAGCGGTACTTTGAGGTGAGAGCAAAGTTCGGCTCAGAAGTGCGCGCGCGGGGGTGTGTGTGTGTGCTGTTCAAGGCAGAATCAAGGGAAGGGATGTGCAGGAGGTTGACCCGTGAGATTATCCTGCCATTTCTGGCAAAGCCGTCCCCCTACTCCAAGAAGACTTTTGGCCAGCTCACCGGGTCTGGGGTGCCTCCGATGACACCTTATGTTTCCTTTCCTGCAGCTGCTCTTCCTGCGCCAAGAGGACCAGGTGAAGGTGGCCCTGAATGGGACGCCCTTTGGACAGAGGCCGTTCCCTCAGCACCTCGCCCACTCGGCCCTGGAGCTGACCGTCGAGGGCAGCCTCGTGCTTTATGGGGTCCAGAACTCTTCCCAGACAAGCCAAGAGGCAGATGCCTGAAGCCACCCACCAGGAACTGCTTCCCCTCTTTGGGAAGAAACAGAGGGACACACACATACACACCAAGATGTTGGGGGGGGGTCGAGGAGAGGACAGGCCAGGTTTGAACATCTGCACGGGTGAAAGACCGACCCCCTCCGTCAAGACCCGGAGTTTAGGGGAAGGGCTGGGCTGACACCCCCTCACTTCTCACACGCAGGGATAGGGTTAGTGCCAGGGAAGCCTGGAAATATCTCCCACCTGTTATAGCCAAGAGCAGTAAAACTATATACAAAGCCAGATATGGAAATGTCCAGATATCTAACTCTGAATATTTACACATCCCTTTCTGGATATGCAAATCTACCTGGACCATCTGTTGCCTCGAAGGAACCACAGGAGTTCAGCCTGTTGCATATTTCTGCTGCGTGTGTGTACGTCACACTCGTTGGCCTCCAAAAGCATTAATAAAATCTTCAAGTCTAGAACTTAAATTTTGTTATTTTTATCTCTGGCAGGGAAGGGAATGTTGCAGAAAAGAAATTACTGTTGTAACAAAGGTTCCCAAGTAACAGAAATCCAAAAGGCATGTTTGGGGGGGGGGGAAGAATCCAGACGTCAAATCTTTATGTTGATGGTGGTGCAGCTGCTGCAGACATGAAACTGCCAGGCAGGGACTCATTAAGGAAGAGTTTGAAAATAAAGCTGACAGTATTTACAAGGGCTTTGCACAATTGGTGGTGCAGCCACAACTGTCATATTTTATGTCTCAAAAGAAAACACCCTTTCCAAGTGTGTGGAAAGGGGGCAGCTCGGATGATCGAGGAAGTTTGCCAGTTTTTTTATGGAGAAACAGAACAGCATTCAGAGCTCTTTTCCTTATACAAAAGAGACAGGCGAGGCAGAGAGGACAAAAGGCGCCACGGGGAGAGAGTGAATGGAGGAGTCCGGTCCGGTGCGGGAGATTTGAACGAGAGGAAAGGGACCCCCCCCTCCTCCTCGGAGCGCCTCGCTCACGTCTTCTCTGGCACGGCTAGGGAGGGTTGGCCACCGGCCCGGCTGTTGTGAGAAAAGAAGAATTGCAAAAGAGACGTTAGGCACGGCTTCCCATGGCTATGAGTCAACTTGACTATCGGTCACCTCGGGTGTCAGAGGTGGGAGACTTCTAAAGAAGTGCAGCAGCAGCTGCCAAGCAAAGCAGAGCAATCCATGTTGAGATGTTTTAGGCTCCTAGGCAGGGAGTCTAGGAGCCTAAAACTGTCTCGTTCTCCTCCTTAAACACACCTAACAACAGCCCTGGTCCTAGAAGACAGCACACTCTTCGGTTTGGAGGACAGCAGTGTCTCTGAGCACATACAGAGTGCATGTGTGTTACCAGTGGGCAATGACTGCTTCACTGTAAGAGTCTTTGGCTAGCAGGCAGCATCTTCCAAAAAAAATAATAATTTTGGAGCCTAGAAATGAGGGGAGTCTGTGGAGGGACTCTGCTGACTTCTGTCCATTAAATTAGATATAATTAAACACCAAATCCGATTTTTCGCACCTGCCCTTTTTTTTTAAAGAGCTGAAAAGCCTGAATACTTTAGATCACTCTCTGCTGGCTGTAATACTACACTGCACCCTGATGACCCAGTCTACCTTAAAGGTCTGTGTTCAAATTCTCCCTTGGCTATGAAACAGACAACCCGTGATTTGAGGAGAGTGCCCATTCCTTATACTGGAGCACCCTCTGGTGGATGGTTCTTGGCACTGTAGTCACCTGACCTCTTCTGGTTTCTTGGCTACAGTCTCTCCTTGGAATGATGATTGAATCTAGATATACAAAATCTGTCGGTATTTGAATTTCTTCATTGAAAGCCTTTAAGTGGTGCAGTTCTTCTGGAGTCATGATTTTGGCTTTCTTCCTGTTGCTACTGCAGTCCTGTTTTGGCACTTTCTTCTCTCACTTTCATCTGGAGTCCTTTCAAATCATTCCTGGTTTCTGCCAGTAAGGTCTTATCCAGGTACCTGAGTTAATGCTCTCTCTCTCCCACCATTATTCTGTTGCACTACAGGAATAGTGAGTGCCAGACATAAAGGTTGATGGGAGGGAACTAAATTAGTTTCAGTTATTTTGGCGCTATCTTCTGTGTACGTGGACTGGGGCATTTAATTTTGGGTTTTGTATATTTATGTTCTATGTTTCACTGTGTTGTTTGTTTTATCATGTTGTGAAACACCCAGAGTAGCCTTGATAGGGAAGGAGGGAAGTAAGTAAGCACTTGTTAAATGTAACTTAACACTGTTGGGTGAATGTTACTTACCAGAGTTGGCTCCCTCCTTTGTAACACTAGGCTTGTGTTCTTCTTCCTCCTCCTCAGGTGTTAATGTATTTGGACAAGGGCGGTTGGTTCTATTTAGCCATAATAACATTTTCACCCAAGAGCAATAACATGGCCTGTAATCAACGCAGGCACTTGCGTGTGTTTGTTTAAAGCTTAAACTGATAAGAACTCACAGTGTTGGGAAGGAGTCCAAGGGGAAAGAAGCCACAACAGAGAGGAGCTTACAGGCACGTTGAGCCTCACGGCGAGAGGTCTCGATAAGGCTTGCTCCCACAGTCCCTGGAAGGCCACCAGTCCCTCCTCTGTGCGCAGGTATGTATTTATGAGCCGCGGGGAACTCTCAACAGCACCAGAAGGCCTCGTAGCTGCCCCTCCTCTCTTTCTCTGGGACCTCTGAGGAAGCGTCCTGGGTGTCAGGTTACGCAAAGCTGTGATGGGATGCACCCACAAACCTTTTCCACTTATGGCGGGATGAATATATGGTTTCCCGAAAATCCTGTAATAACTTTGCTGCTCTGCTTTTGCAAACTAAAAGCAGTGGCTTCATTTACTGAATCTCATATTCAGCCTTCTTTTCCTGCTGCATCCCACTTTTCCTAGTGTTATTTTCTTTCCAATGACGTTTTGCCTTCTCAGGATGGGCCAAAATACAAGAGCCTCCATGCAGCTGTGGTCAAACAAAGCTAACATTTGTGAAATGAACAAAGGAACTTTGTAAAAGTTTGAAGCCTAGAAATGTTTTCCTTGGCAGGGCACCCCTTCCAGTTCTGCGAACAAGGTGCCCGTTGGAAGGTTTATCTCAGAACTGAATGGCAATCAAAAAGGGGGATCAAGATGGCTTAATTGCTTCCACGTGACTTAGAAGAAATTCCAATCCATTCGGGTCACAAGATGAGATGACAAATTTTATCTTCGGTATGAAAGACTAGCTAAAATTCTATACACGCACAGCTGAAAATATTCTGCTGTTGGATTATGAAAATCAGAAGAAAGAAATGATTGGGCACAAGAGTCTGGTCAGTCTCAGCAGGTTCTTTGACTGCAGCTCGGCCATTTATCCATCGGTCCCCTTCTCTGGGGCAGGGGCAGCCCAGCTCACCTCTGGGGTGAGCGTCCTCTTGCCTAAGCCCAGAGCAGAGTTTGACAAGCTCCTCGTCACATGCTCACATGGGTTGCCAGATGGGTCACACAGTGAGTTGTGCAACATGACATACCTGTTTGAGTGTGCAAACGTGGTGGGGGGGCTGATGCCACGGCCCTCTGGTTCTGTCTTTGGAATCGCAGCAGGTGGCACAGAAGGCATTCATCAAGACAACGGATGCCAGGCTGGCCAAGCCCCTCTTGCATCCAAGAGGCAGCAGGCAGATTGCTAGCGACATTTCCGGCCACATTCCTGGAACTCTCAGGAGGCACCCACATCCAGGTTGAGGGTCCCTTTTAAAGGACATTCACAAAGCAGGATACGTCCATCAGGTGAGAGCCAGAGCAGCTGGAAATGGGGGCCCTCATCCGGCCACATTCCTGGAACTCTCAGGAGGGACCCGCATCCAGGTCGAGGGTCCCTTTTAAAGGACATTCACAAACCAGGATACATCCATCAGGGGAGAGCCAGAGCGGCTGGAAATGGGAGCCCCCGGGGGGGGGCAGGCCAAAAGCCACCTGCGAGCTCAGCTGGAAGGTTCGGCTGACCATCAAGCAGATGCCAAGATAAACTTCCGCAATCTTCCAGAAGGGAACACTATAATTCGGAGTGGAAGTTAGAATGAAGTGGCTCTTGATTAAGTAGGAAGAGGTTGTTTTCTAAAGGAGAGAGGAGAAGAAGAAGAAGGCACCTGAACTATTCCCAGAGAAATGCAGGTGGGAGCTGGGATCGAAGCCAGCTGGGCCACCACTTGTTGGGGGTCCTGTGCTAATTCTTCCTGTGTGGCGGACCCGAAGGAAGCCGGAAGCGGCATCCGTCGGCCAGCCTGCTTTTTCGTTCCACAAAGAACCCGCAAGAGAAGGGGCAGAGACGACCGAAGGGGCCAAGGCAGCCTTGCCGGGGCCTCCAGGGGAGCAGGCACGATGCAGAACAGGACCAGACGCCTCCCTCTTGCCTTCTCAGACCGTCCGCAGTCTGCAAGTCCCTCCTCCTTCAATGGACTCTCTCTCTCCTCCCAAGTGTAACACGAATGGACCCAGAAGCTGCCAACCCGATCCAACCCAAAGGCAGCCACTCACGAGGGACCCACTTGCCAATTTCCAGGTCGCGGTCACAACACCCGATGTTTCCCTTCCCTCTTCTTTTCATTGGGACCCTGTTCCTGAATGTAGGGGACCAGCTCAACTAAAAGTGGGAAAAACTGAGGGGGTGAGGATGGGGGTGGGAGGGGGCTCATGGAGTGTGTTGAATCCTTGCGTCCCACATCCCTAAAATCCAGAAACAGCCAGTAAACCCCTCTGTGCCCTTGTGGCCACTTGGCTCTCGCTCAGCCTGGCAGGTAAAGGGGCCAAAGTAAGCAGCCTCTGAGGTTGTCCTGGCCCTCCTTCTGGCCAGTGGAGTCCCTAAGGCCACTTTCCTCTCCCGGCCTCCCCACCCCCCCAGCCCTGGGCGGGGCTTCTCCTCCTATATCAGCCCTCCCGCCTCCCGCCAGGCACTCGGGATCACCCTCCTTGCTCCAACGGACATGGCTTCCTCCTGGACAGGCTGCTGCCTTCTGGCCCTGGCCTTCCTGCTGTTCCCGGGGCAGCTGGCTCAGGGCAAGGCAGGGCCCTGGTCTCCCTTCAGCTCCCTTCCGCCACCGCAAGTCCTCCGGCCAAAGCAGCAGGCGATGATGTACCGCCAGGCAGTCCAAGCCCACAAGCTGGTCCTGGATTACTTGAATCGGAAGCACAACGCCACCTTTTACCGGGCACCAGGAATGAAAACCCACGTCACGATAGACGTAAGATGTGCGCAGAAGCGCCAAGAGGATGGAGGAGAGGCTCCGAGGGAGGGATCGAAGGACGGGCTCTCGACAGGGCACCGGCGTTCACCTGGGACTCCAGGGGACGGCCGGGCGGTTTGTCCCTCCGCCTGGCAGGACCGTGAAAAGGTTGCCCGGGGAGGAGGGGGAGGGGGAGGAGAGGGAGGGAGGATGGGAGGTTCCAGGAGCTCTCCCTGTAGTCTCACGGAGCTGCCTTCCTCTGCATTTCAGATGGTGTTTGGGCATGCCTACCACGTGAATACCCTGCTGGTGAGCGCAAAATGCCCAGAAGGCTACACCGACGTGGATCCCACCAACTGTGAGATGGCACCTGATGCTCCGGTGAGGAAAGAGGATTTGAAAGTGGGGGCAGGGGACAGGGTGGGGGCCGAGGCTTGGCAGCGCCCGCCACACACCGACTTAAGCAAAACTAACAAGACAAAATCCTGTTTGTTCTGTCCTCCCATTCTTTTCCACGGTCCATTGCTGCAGCAGCTGGCTGGGCCCTGAGCTTCCCAAGGAGGTCTTCCTAGACACACCCTAGTGCAGGCTTGGGAGCCATCCAAGCGCTTGCGTTTCAACCACACTGAACAGATGGGTGGGAGAGAAGAGGATTCTGCCTCCAGAAGAGGTTTAGAACTCCCACAAGGTCTTAAGCATGGAGCCCCATGATCATAGAGTCTTGGAGCTGTGGTTTCCTGGCAGCCGACTGGAGTAGCAGCAGGCAAAGAGAGGGAAGCCCCAGCCACTGCAAGCAGCCATAGTAGGGGGGCGTGGGTGTATATGCAGAAGGAGAGGGCACCGTATTTGAATGACTGGCTCTCTGTGTGGAAAAGGGGAGAGACCAGCCAGAGGGTTCCGCTGTGCCGCACCTCTCCAAGAGGAATCACCTACCTTGGCCAGCTGTGGAAACCGATCCCCTGAATCTGCCAGAAATCCCATCCATGACTTGCACAGAGCTGTGAAAAAGGCAAAACAAGAATCAACAGACAGAATCTAGCTGAATATTTACGTAGGTGTAAGTGCCACGGTGTCACTTGGAGCAGTCAACAGCAGCTGACAGTTCCTAGTTACGTGTTACTTCCATGACTTGGGGGGGGCACCTGCAGATTGAACTGGCCTTCCCCAGCTGCAAAAGAACGCTGGCAAATTCCCCCCCACACTCTTTTCCAAGGCCACATTCTCCCCCCAAACTACCTACTAAAGGCAGAATCTCTGACCATGCAGCCGCCAATCACGGAGGCCGTTTCTCATTGCCTTTTCCTCTTTTAATCTGTGCAGAAAATGGAGTGCAATGTGTTGGTTGTCTTCCTTTTTGAGAATGAACACCCCCACATTAGCGAGGTCAGTTGCCGGGAGTTCCAAGGGCCATTGGCAAACCTGACCGCCGCTGCGGAAAAAGAAGAGGAGGAGGAGGAGGAGGAGGAAGATGAAACAGAAGAGACGCCTTGCATCTGAGGGCCGAAAGGAGAGGGGTTCCTCCTTCTCCCTGTAACTGGGCACATTCACACCTGACATTTCTGTCCTTAAGGCATCCCTGAGAAGCCCGGCAGGGATTCCCCTGCCTGTCGGAGGCAGGCACGGTCTCTTCAGAGAACTAAAGGTTGGCATGAGGCATAGAGTTGGCGTGAGGCTTGTGCTTTTTTTCTTCTGGGGGTGAAAGGAAAAGCAGTAAGACCTACGGAAGCCATAATGTGACTGGTGCTCAAGAAATACGTCTGCCCTCCCTCCCTCCCCCCTTGGCCTCTCGGGGACACATTCCCAGCAAAATGCTCTGTACATGATCACAGAGCACAGATTTCTGACTCCTGTCCTCTGAAGAGGCCCATGGCCACAGAGACTGGCGAAATGTTAGGAAGAAAAACCTTCCAGAACACGGCCAAAGAGCCCGGAAAACCCACAACCACCAGACACTTTCTCCCCTCCCTCCCCACAGACCAGGCTGGTCTTGCAAGGAAAAAGCCCTGCCAAGCACAGGTGTGAATAAGGGTGGCCATTCCTGCATCTTTTCACCTGTTAAAACTAGACAGGCTGCTTCGACCATCTTTGGCTGCAGGTTTTAGCCTTGTTTTCAATCGAAAAATAAAACAACTCTGCATGCAATGGAAACCGTGGCCCCAACGCCGGAAGGAGGAGCCAAAGGGGCCCTTCCTGGGCCCTTCCTCCCCCCCTCCGGCTCCTTCCCCCCAGGGGGGGGGGGTGGAGGTGGGGAATCGATGCTGACCTGGCTTCCTGAAAACGCTTTTGCCAGA